AGTCAAAGACAACCAACAAAAACAAACCCACAACCAGAGTTTAGCACAAGTCAATCGTAAAAAAATATCGTCAGTTTGTTCTGCTCTTTCGCCCTGTCCGCTTTTCCCTATGTCCTTCACCTTTCTCTTCTCATACATATAAACCCACCTTTTAATGCTTCTCTTAAAATGCTCAGGGGTTAAAAGCTCATGGGGTTAAAACGCTCGTGGGACTCCACTGCCCACCTGTGTGCACTCCTTTCAGCCTGCTCCCGGCGTACAGAAATAGGACCAACTCCTACAGGCTATCATTAGGCATTCTTCAGGCAAAATTCTGACTGAAGTTGGTGGAAGTTTTGGCAGAAGGGCTGTAAAACTAATTACATTCCTCCCCCAAGTATATATATTGGATGGTGATGAGAGATGAGAAAATACTGCCTAGAAAGAAAGTCCATTAATAAATGAGAACTAGATGCGGGGAAGAACAGTTGATTGAATTATTTATAATGCAGTTATAAAATTGCTGAGTTGCTGGGCTTTCCAGAAACCTATCGATAACAGGCATGACCATAGCAGCAGTTAATAAGACAAGCAGGAGCAAGGATCTCCATGAAAATCAGGTATGGAAATGTCTCGCAAAAAGCCTAGCATAGCTAAATCATTTAGCACAGAAGGTATTTTAGAGAGGTGGTAACGCTCTAATGGCCTGGAAAACTCATTGTGAGTTTTTACCAGCAGTGCACCACAGAACTTCAAGCAAAAACTGAGCAAGTGTGGTCCCCTCTTTTAAAAATAGAAAAAACGGCATAAGTGCTCCCTGATAAGGCTAACTATAGATCATGGTGAAAAAGGAAATATGTGCAAAATGTGTGTAAAAAGTATCACTGGGTAGTGCCACTAAGAGAAAAAATGAATGTCAGCATTTAAAAGAATGAATATTGCCACAGGTGTTTTGTCAGTTATCTAACTAGTGACCAGTGATGACAGCAGATATGCTGTATTAGACAATCTGTTGCAATGTCTGGAAAGTTTAACTTTTCAAACCTTCGGCGCCTAAAAGAAGTAAAAGTGAAAAGACCAGCGAGGCCTTTTTCAGCCTTGACATCTCTAATTCCCATGCATGCACTCCCACTGCAAACAATCCACTCCCTTCCTACACGCACAAACACACTCCCTGCCTTTATCCTGCCCTCGGACCACACACGCATCTCTACCCGCTTGCTGCAGCCTCCTCCCTCAGACACAGGAACCCCTTCTCTGAACCCGCTCCTCAAAGAAAGGTGTGTTTCCACCCCGGTCCACCAAGTTGGAGGGGTTTTTTTAAGGGTTTATTGATGTCCCCTGTCACAAACTCCAGACAAAGCAGTCCTTTCTGTGAGGGAACTTCACACCCAGGAATGTGGTCTGGACATCTATGGACAAAGGGACATTCATGTTCCCGCTCCTCTTGCCTCTTAATCCTAAAGGAAGAACAAACGTGCTGACGTTAGCCTTCCAGCTGGGTTTAGGAAACGTGTCCTGCTGCGGATGCATGTTTACAGTATCTCTCTTTTTGTTTGTGGTTTGAGGCTGAGGTGTGCAGGCACAGGGACACGCTCTATCTGTGCTGGCCTGCATTCAGCAGCCCGGATGGCATTTCCAGCCCGTTAGCCTCCGAAGCGTTCCGCTCGTGAAATTAGCTTGATGAGGCGACTGATGAGAAAATGGCGCTTATTAGCTGCTGTCATTTTTATACCCTCTTCCAGAAGTAATGGTACAGCAACTCATGATCCCATTAAACCTTCTAGCGAGTGCTCTGACTGTGAAAGGACAAAGCTGCAAACAGCCAAGGCTTCTTGGTGCTGCAGGCCAGGCCCGGCCACCTCCTCTCCCCTGCGTCCCCCTGCAGCTTGCATAACCCTCGGTAACCCAGCACTGCTCCTTCTCAGGATCGTCTTCTCCAGGGCACAGCTTCGTTCTGAACGGCTTTGTGCTATCACACCCAGGGGCACCAAGTCTCTTCCACCAAGCCAAGCATAAAAATGTCTGGAGGGGAGGGGGGTCGGCAAGACAGATGTATTTAATTATATGTGCCAGCCAGCATTTCCCCTATGTGAGATTAAGTGTGCAGTTCAGCTTCTGATCTAATTCCATTCTCGTTTAACATCACTGAGGAAGGAGCCATAAACTGCCCACTGTAATGCAGATTTTTATAACGTGCTTTCATATTTTCAGTAACCTCCTGTCTGTATGGAGTCAGGTGCTCGTAACCCTGGGTGTACTCGTAACTAATTTTTGAACAAGCCACTACGCCACCATGCCAGGACTGGGGGGTGCTGTTAGAGCACAGCATCTTCAGGGTGAAGGCTCCAGGCTTCCCGGGACAGTCCCGAAATGGGCTCACCTGCTTTGCAGACATACTTCTGTGCTACCCCATCTTGCAGCATTGTCATGGCCACCGCTGTATTTGGTGATGTTCTCCAAGCCCCACGTTTTGGAATCACATAAACACAGGAGAAATATAACTTCTCCTAAACCAAATTAAATCACAATTTTCTTTTAGTATTGGCGAAAAGCTTGGAAACTGAGTCTGAAGGCAGAAGCAAAGATGAGTAACAAGACTTTCATTGTTACTGTTATTGAAGTCAGGGATTTTTGTAGCCCACTCACAGTTTTCTGAATGTGGTTCAAGTCTCTCTAACCCTTCTGGCTGATACTGCTGCTCTGAGCAAGTCCCGTCCCTGCTGCTTCAGATTATATTGGGGAAAAAAAATGTACTTAATCCCCTGCCATGATAGGATCTTTAATATCTGGATTTTGGCATCAGGAGGCCTGTCCCTATCCAGCAGGTTATGATGAGCCATCGTCAGGGAAAGCTCAAACAATCTGGGTTAAAAGTGAGGACAGGAAAGTTAGTGTGGGTTTTAACTGCTGCTTGTTTGTTTTCGTCCCTACCACCTACGCGTACAAAGAGCTGTATTTGTTACGGGCATCCTGAGAGAGGAAATCTCTTACCTTAAAAGAAGCACTTGGCATTAGGAGAGAATAATATGGAGAGCAACAAAGAACCATTAGTGACGTTTTATTAAGAAGATGAGATAAATAGTCTCTCGTAAACAAGTGGTATTATTTAACTATCCAAGGATTTGCTTTCCAAAACAAGCCTGAATTGTTCATTGTCCAGCAAAATAACGCCTGCTCTGCAGTCCTGACTTCTTCTCTAAATAGAGCACAGAGTCTGTAAGGCTCTGTGCCTGTGGGCTGTCCTACCACATTACTAATGACATTTATGTCAATGCTGTCATAAAAATATTTTAAATAAGTAGAGAACAACAATGTTAAGACCGAGAAAGGATAAAGTGAGGAGGCTTTAGTTCAGGAGACAGGAACAAAGGAGCTCTGCCTGCCCTACAGCTTCCCTGTAGCTGTAGACGGGGCCTCACAGACACACTTGCACTCGCTCATGTTGGCAGAGAAAAACCTGGCAGAACAATGCCCCATTGCTGCCTCAGCTGCTCGGTCACCTGCTCAGACAGAATTATGGCACCCTGTCCTAGCTGTTCTTCAGGCACTGGTGGGCACGCATTGATGCTCCGAGGTTTCCCAGAACAAGGTTCCTCTTCCCTGTTGTGCATGTCGCAGGGTTTCCCAGGGGCAGTGAGGGCTCCCTGGGGATGCTGCCAGCATTGCCACACCGTAAACGAGATGGGGCTCCGTGAGGGGAGCAGCCAAAGGTGCGCGTGTGGGCAGGAAGCACTCGCTGTCTGAAACAGCCTTCCTTGAGCATGGGTGGCTTACCCTGGTCAGAGGCCTGGGAGGAGGAGGAGGAGGAGGAGGGGGCAATGCGAGCATTTGGGGTTGCCGCTGCCGCCCGGCTCCCAAAGGAGACCACTGCTGCGTTGCCATGGCAGTGGTGACGAACTGGCAGCCAGAGCCAGCATCGCCCGTCTCCCCCAGCCCCTGCGCGATGATGCTCCGGGAAGGACGCGCAGAAGGAGCTTCGCATCCCAGTCCCCAGCTCCTTTTTACTTCGCCTTCACCTTGCAGAGCTAAAGAAAGAGAGAATTGCCTGTGCAGGCTTTCCGGGGAGAAACCTGTGCGGAGGCAGGGCCCGAGGAGCAGCGAGTGGCTCTGATTTGGGCGCTTACCCTGGCAGAGGCGGGCGAGCTATGAGCACCTGTCGGGGAGGAGCTGACTTGTGCGAGAAGGTCACTTCTACAGCCTTGCTCTGTGAGTACTGACCCCGCTGGCCTCTCGCGCCTTCCGCTGAAAATGTTTTTTATCGTTTCTTAGCAACTACAAAAATCTGTTTTTCCCTGCTTTGAAGGGGAGGGATTTTCTATTGTGCTAGTTCTTTTAAACAACCTCCATGCAAAATCTGTGAAGGTGTTACTGCTGGATTTTCTGCTCTAGGCATGAAGTCCTGCAGGGGCTGCAGACTTAGCCACTTGCAGCAGGTTTCTCACCTGCTGGCACCAAGCAAGCATAGTGAAATCCGCATGGCAGTACCTGCAGTTTGCAGTCAGAGCAGCACAATCCACACCTGAATGCATCGGTACCAGGTTGTGCATCCTAGCCATCTGATACAGCGCTATCCAAAGATCAGCTCTTTCATTTTCCAGCCTTTGTTATACATCCTCATTTGTTTTTGTTAAGATGAAGAATTTTAGCAGTAAGCAAACCAAATGCTGCTTGGAACAGGTGCAGAAAGAGTATTCTTCATATGTGGGATAGGGTTACAAATAATTTCTGTCCAGTGAGCCAAACAAATGCATCAGATAAACTGCTGATAAAAAAGAATGATTATATTGGCACAGATCCACCACACTCCACTGTAGCACATGGATGTCATAGGCAAGCACACAAACAGACAGCAGGAAACATACAAAAGCCATGTGTGAGATCAGTCAAGAACAGCTAACAATAGGCATCTCTAAATGTATTAGGGCTACTGAGCAGTCTGAGAACCAGCTTTAAATTCACACTGGCAAAATATTAATTGAATCTCAAGATCCGTGAGAATAATATGCTGCTGTATAAAAAACAATTATGCATTGGAAAAAAAAAATCAAAGGGATCTGGCACACCATAGTTCTGAAATCTTGGTTAAACTGCAACCCACTCACATGCAAGCTAAGGGGATTTTTTTTTCTTTTTTCTCCAGATGAATTTGATGCTTGTTCTGTTCCTTGGCCAGACAGCAGCACTGGGGCATCTGTAGCTGTAATCTCATTAAGACTATTAGACTGTGCTTGTGCTTGTGTTCTGTTGCTGGCATGGATTTAGGCAGCCAGATGATCCTCAGAGCATGGATGGCTCTCACAGTTGAGAGGAGATGGGCTACACTGTTTTTCATGAGGTTTGAAAATATTACAACTTCTGCTTTGGAAAGGCACTGTTTGCAGTCCAGCCGGAAAAGCAAATAGTGACAGGTCCACTCAGTCCACACACAAAAGGGAAATTTATGAACATAGTTTCTGTTTGTGGTAATGGGAGTCACATGTGTAAGTTCTCCACACAATGAAGGCAGAATACACTCCCTTCAGTGTGTAAATAGCATAAAGATGTGCCTGTGCGAGTGCTGGCATGAGATGCTGGACTACAATAAGAAAAACAGAAATCAGAAATGAATTATTTGTTCATTTTTCTACTCCAAGAAGCAGTTCTGTGTTCTGCTTTGTCCACTCTGTTACAACTAACACAAGCACTGTAGCTTTTGCTTTTTTTGGAACATTCCACCAAACTTTAAAGTATTTTGATGGCAAGGGATGTTTCTAGGGTCGGACACAAATTCTTCTCATTCCATTTTATTACATTACTCTTCATTACAATTCCTTAGGACTTCATAAATACCTGTTTTTCCTTTTTGCATTCCTGCATCACACAGATATTAGCAGCTGGTTATGTTCCTCTTCAGCAGTGGTGCTTAAGTACTTCTGCATGTAACAGGGTTTCCAGCCCCTCTGTGAACTCTGCACATGCAGACCTCCTGCACATGAGCCAGTACCGGTTTATGTCATTCGTGCATGAGCCTCGGGAAGCCGTCTTTGCTGAATGAATGCCAGTGTACCACACAGTTCATAAATATGTAAAAGTAATGGGCCCTATCCCAACAAGCTCAGATTCAGAAACGTTTAGCAGATGTTCTGGCTGTGGGGGAGGAAAACAGGAGATGAATAAATACAATACTGCAATAACAAATACTTTGTTGATGAAGCCGCACATGAATTACAATGACAAACACACCCCTACCAGGACTTTGACCTACCCATGAAACAACATAAACATGTTTTATTAATAGCAGTTCCACGTTTTCAGGATCAATAAAGTGACTTCATTGATTTACTTTCCCCTTTTTATTAATACTTCTCTAAACAGTGATGAATTTGGATGGAACATAGGTAGAGTCTTTTTCGTAGCTTGCCAAAGGACAGATCTAATACTACGAGTAAAACAGTGAGGTTCTCAACGAGGACCCCAGAGCCTTTTGCTAGAGAGCCTAACCATGGATAAGTTAAGAGCTTGAAGAAAACTTCCAGACTTGTTTGAGAATCAGGCCTGTTGGTTATTTCTAGACAACAACACAATGGAGCTGCTCTACACAGCTTGTTTAGAGGAGTAAAATGATGTTGTTTTAAAAACAAGTATACAAAACATGGCTCAGACTCCTTCCTAATCCAAATTCAAAAAAGGAAACACGCGTTCTAGACCTTAATGCATGCTATGTGGAGTAAACCAGACCCAGGGGAAGCCCTGCACAGGCAGCCCTTGTGCAGGACTCTTGTAGCCCAAATTAGGTCAAGAACCAATGAGGTGTCTTGGTGACGACATCGCAGGCCTTTCTTCCCATTCTACTCGACCAAGGCATATTTAAATCTTTTTCTTTACTCCTTCTCAAGGACTATCTGAGTAAAAGGAACTGCTGTACTCATGATTTTTTTGTTTAATACATTAATCGCATAGGATGACAACAGTTATCTTCTTGCATATTTACATTTTGCTCATTGAAAAGCACTTGTCTTTCTGTTTTAGGTGGTCTTGTACCTCTTTACATGTCCAGGTGTTCTATAAGCAACCATGAAGTCAAAATCATCTGGGTTACTTTTCCTTACTGTCCTGTACAGTTCTGGGAGGGATTTTTCTGTCCTTGTGTAGCCTTTCTTTTAGGTTGTCTCTATTAAAAAAAATATATATATAGTACAGTGTAGTGAAGTGAAAGTTGTGTGTTTCTCATTAGCTTCTCATATGCCCACAGTCCTGAGTAGTAGCAGCAAACCTGACTGCAATTTTAGGTTTTACTACTTGGACAATCTGTGAGCAGTGAAATTACCTGGAGTGTGTGTGGACAGACCCAGAGCCTCTCTAATTCCTAAAATACTCCCAAATGCTCAGTTTACACTCAACATTCAGCAGATTTGCATGTAGCTGCAGGGAGAGTTTCCTTATGAGTTCCTATCTGAACGTGTATTTTCTTAGCCTGAAGGATTAGAAATGTTTTTCTAAATGCTCAAAGTCTAGTGGATCAGGGGGCTGGCTTTTTATTGCTCTGTCAAGCTGGAGAAGTTTTGACCTAGTAAAGCCTTTGTGTTTACAGGGTGAGCCAATAAGTACTTTTTCAAAGTGAATTAGACTTGTATTTGCTTTCCTGTAATGAAACACCACTAGCAGTTTATTTGGAACTCAGCTGCCACCCCTGCACACAACATCACTCCAGATTAGTGTGGACTTGTGTGTTCAGGGGTGGTGGAAAGGGTTAAAAACTTTAATTTTATAAATATTACAGTTACTCAAATGCTCATGCGATAAATATCCACTGGCATGCAGGAGGACATAGGGTTCATAATGACTTCTGCCTTATATTTCAAAGACAAATTGAACACCTGTGTTATTGCTTAGGGGTTAAGCTCTTTACATTTTCCCCAGAATTGGACACTTTTTCCTGCTAACAGTTGCAGCTGATGCAGAAGATAGAAAATTTTAAGACCTCTGTAGACTAGATTTTCTCTGCTGTCCCTTGGTTTCTTCGGGAAACATTGTTTCTTTTGGAAGCATTCAGCAGCTGGTTTGTATACAGATTACTTTTACATAAAGGAACTATGCTTTAGCTACCCAAGTAGATGCGAGCATCAGAAAATAAGGCAATATAACCCATCACGGAGATCCCACATTAAATCGCCTCCAGCAGGCAGCAATTTAAATGCAGTGACTTTTAGCAGAAACACTTTTGTACGGGAGACAAAAGTTCTGGTTAATGGAGAGCATTTCAAATGCTTCAGTGTCACTTTGCTTTCATGTTGTTGCCTTGACTTTTACAAAGTGACATGTATGTGGAAAGCACACAAAACCCTCTAGCACCATAAACATCACGCTAAGATGTACAAACTGGAGGGGTGTTTGCAGAACACTCCAAGTGCTCCTTCTGTTCAACATACCAGTGGTAAGGCCACAACTGAGAGCACGCTGTGTGCTGTTCCTGGCAGTGAAATTCAGGACAGACGTGAACTAAACTGAGAGCCTCCAAATATGAGCATCACGAATCACCAGAGGTCTCACAGTGTAACCTAGGAAGACAGATAAGAAGAAATGGCATTTAGGTCCAGAGAATGTAATCAGAAGTGACACAGTACGTCTTCATGCAATGAAAAGGCTGCTGCAAAGGTGAAAGGAACAAATGTTTCCTTTGTCTTTGATGGGTAGCATGAGAAATAGATTTAAATTATGGTAAAAGGGATCCAGGTAAATCACTATGGAAAAACTAAAGGCAAGAAGAGTGAATCATGAGAACAGAGTGGCTTGCCTGCATAGCCTGTGGTGTCTGCAGCATTGGAGGTCTCTAAGGGGTCAAACAGATGGGGCAGAGATGCTTTCACAGGGATGGAGTTAGAGGACCTCTCAGTACCCCTTCCAGCCCTGGAATTCAGTGATCGCCTCTTCATCTGAAAATTCCCTTGCTGTTTTTACTCGTTAGTTCTCAGTATTTGAAGAGGTTACCAGTTCCCACAGGACTGGCCATGCACCTGGCCAGTTCTGAGTTTTGGAAGGCTGTCAACAGAGAATTCAAGATTCCTTGGCCATTTTTACTGTGAAAATAGCTTTGATATCATGGAGAAACTAAAAGCTTCTTTGGATTTTCTTCTGTAACTTGCCTTCCTTGCTGTAATCCTTCTCTAACCGGGAGCAGCAGCTGGCCCTTGTGAACCTTCAGTTATTTTAGAACCTGAATATATAAAGAAGGCAGGCACTATTTTTGTATATATTGATTTTTCGAAATGGGGCACTGTGCCATAACCTGACCTTATTTTGAGCAGCAGCAGCTCACCTCCTTTTAAGAGCTGAATCCTGAGCCACGGTGTTTTTCCCTGGGTTGGTTTGGGACTGCTGCCTCGACTGCTGGCCAGCTTACTGGATGTGACTTCTGGAGCGCAAGGCACCCAGTTTTATGGTGCTTGCAGGCACTTGTTCACGGGGAATCGCTGCTTTGCTGACGCCAGGTGATTGTTATCTAGCCCAGTGCAAAGCAGCAGTACTGTAAAGGCCTCAGGGAACAGACGGCGATGGGCTCACCTTGTACATCACAAGCCTGGAACATCAGAACTCTGCAAGGCTGAGCTGCAGGGTTTCAGTTTTCTTAGCTTGTTTCTATGGAGTAGCCATTTTGTAGCGATATCCCAACCCCTCGCTTTTGTGTGCTCTCCAGGGTGTGTTTTATTAGCCTAAAGTTCTGTATGGTATTGCCTTGCACCCTCCTCCCCTCTGAATACCACGTGCAGGCAGTAAAAGGAGACATGCAAAGGAAGCACAGTGCTTTGTTTTTGCTTTAGTTCTACTTGTTTAAACCCTTCCTCTTACAGTGCATTGTGAAAACTCCTCTGGGAATCTGACAGCATAATGATGCAAATAACCCTGTCATATGACTAAGCCTCTCTGTTGCTGGATTCCCAGATACCAAAGCAAAACGTACAAGTCTTGCTGTGGATGGCATAGGCAGCTTCATTCTCGAGTGCAGATGGATCTCCAGTTCCCTAATGGGAATTGTTTGGTTCCTAATTAGCATTTTACAAAGATTACTGTTAAATTGACAGCCCTCCTGATTGTTCAGAGGCAAAGTGCCTAGCTGGCAATCAGTGGACACACTGTATGCACTGGCCTCCTTGAAAGCATTTAAAAATATCTTCTATATTGCCATCTTTGAACCCTCTCCTCCACCTACTTCCATCTTGCAGTAATTTAACACATCCTCAGCCTGCATCTTTGTAGGGAAAAACACCTCAATCTTTTGGCTATCAGCAGTTAACATGAGCTGCTGCCTCCCCTGCAAAGAACTGCTACACCACTGACCTTGGGTGACTTCCAAAGGGGGAATATCCACTGCCTGCAGGTCTGCCTGCCCCTTGGCACCTGCACGTGTACGAACACAGGCACCTGCTCAGGTAAGGACAGACGTCTCTGCCAGATTTTCCACCATGTAAGCTGAGTCAGCTGGCTGCGGCTCTCAAGTGACTGCAACCGGTAGCTCTAATTTCTATGCTCATGGAAACTCCATCAGTAAATAGGGTGGGCTGAGCCAAGTTTGTATCAGCCAAAGGCTTCCCTCCATCTGTTCTCAGGCAGGGATATAGATAGCAATTTGGGAATTGTGCACTTCTGGCTGATATTTGTCACACCACAGCAGAGTAAGAATTTCCTCTGCCATGTCATGAGCTCATTTGGTGCATCTCTTATGAGCGGTACCATTTTGGTTTGTATCACATTATTGCAGGACCTGACTGCTTTTCAAGCCAAAATCAAACCCCAAATCTTTAACAGCTTATGGAAGTCAAAAAAAATTCTGTTAAGGTAGGGTTGGAAAACTCGGTATCTGGGCCTTCCCCGCTGCCTCAGCGAGCGGGGCAGGAGGGCAGGGGAGGCAGCACACCATGACGGGACCGCAGTGGCTTCGCAGCGCGCACACGAGGCCCGGACAGGAGCGTTGCTGCGGCTCGGGGACCCCCCTCGCCTCAGGGACCCGACCGTTAACGGCACGCGCCCACCCCTAACGGCCGCCGCGCGCGCGCACGCCCCCGCCCGGGGCACTTTAAACGGTCGCTGCCTCGCCCCGCCCCCTCCCCGTAGCCCCTCCTCTCCCCATCGCCCCGCCCCCTCCTTAGCCCCACCCCTTTTTTCCCTCCGCCAATCCCGTTCCGCGCTCCCCTCCCCTCCGCCAATCACCGCCCGGGCCCTTTCGATCCGAGCGCGGGGCGGGGGGGGGCGAGGGCAGTACCATCGGCACGGCGCGGGGGGAGCGGGGGGGGGTCAGAACGAGGCGGGGGCAGGCTCCCCGCCCGGCCGCGTGGCTCTCAGCGCTCCCCGGGGCCGCGGCGGGAAAGGGGCGGAGCGCGCGGGAGGGAGGGGGGAGCCCCGCCCCCTGCCAACGGCCGGCGGCGGGCAGCGAGCGGCCGCGGCGCCAGCACCAGCACCAGGTGAGCGGGGCCGTTGGGGGCCGTTGGGAGCCGTTGGGGGCTGTGCGGGGCCCGGCAGGTGCGGGCCGGCGGCGGGCAGAGCCGGCACGGGCAGATCGGATGGGATCGGATGGGATCGGATCGGATCGGATCACCGCCTTCCCTTCCCTTCCCTTTCCTGCCTTTCTGTCCGCCTCCCTCCCTCCCAGCCGGCTGCCGTGTCCCGCTGTGACCGCACAGGGCACGGGGAGCGGTGCGCCGGGAGGGCAGAGGCACACGGTGTGTGTGTGAGGGGCTGCCCGGGGTATAAAAACGCCGGGGGTCTGGGGCAAGGCACGGCGCTGCTCGCCTGTCTGTGCCCCCCGGCCCTGAGGCAGCTGGGAGGGGCGCGGGGCAGGGCGCTTACAGCGTTTGGCTTCTGTGGTTTGAGGCAAGGGAGGATGCTCACCCCTGTGGGCAGTCTGCCCTCTACCCCCCCTGCCTTCTAGTTTGTTTTTATTTTTATTTTGGCTTAGCATCAAGAGGAAACTCAAATACGTCTCTTCTCAGTGCTCTGAGGTGCTGGGGTTGTATCCATTCAAACGTGTTTGGTGCGACTAGGAAAGGAAATGCGAGTTTTTGCTGATCTGAGACAGCGGTAAATTAACAGCAGAACTGCCTCAATTCCATTAAACAGGAGCCTGTTTCACCCCACAGCTCTCAAGGAGAATTCACAATTCTCCCTCTTTCTGCTAGAGGCGTGCAGTGGCAGCACGGCTTCTTGCTGAAGGCACAACCTGGTTGCTCCAGCAGAGATCGGCTGTCCCGAAACTGCTGCTTCTGCAGTGGGCAACACGAGAAACTGCCTCGCATGTTCGATAAAGGATGCTGGCAAAGCTACGGAAACAAGGAAAACCTTCTTACCGCATTCCTTTCTATCAGCCTGCCACTTCTCCCGAGATCCTCATCTGGGTTACATGTTAACCTTTCTCCTTTCTTTTCCCGATAGCGTCTGTGAGATATGATCTTTTGTGTCTAGCCACATGGTTAAAACTAGTCTAGGCTGTCCTTGCTTTGTGTCTAGATATTTTTTTGACACTCAACCATTCAAAACAACGACCATTTTACTGAAAATGGTGTTTTTGGATTTGTTCACCATTAAGGCTTCTAGCAAAATCATTCTCAGGTTGGTCCTGCAGGTACTGGCATGGCCAGTTTTCTTCTTGGTCGCTTTCTGCTGGCACGGAGAGGGGCGTAAGCTGGAGAATTTGACGGGTAGTCCCAGCTGTCAACGCTGCCAACCTTCAGGCATCCGCCGAGGCCTCCCAGTTTTCTGTCTTCACCTTGCTCATCCCAAAAGAGGAGTGGCAGATACGGGCGCTTTTCCCCCACCATGCAAGCGACTCGTGTGAATGCCTCTGGAGCTGTCAGTCCCGAGATCTCCAGGGGTTTTCTGCCTGCCGACCCTGCCTGAACCACCACAGCCAGGCAGCAGGCTGAGCGGGCCACTGCTTTCTGTCCTGAGCACGTGTGTTTTTTTTGCTGTGTTCCCTTCTTTCTTTGAATCCACTTGTCTGGCGGTCATCCCATCCCTCGAATTGGAGCCTGTGTACAAGAGGTGTTTTCTTGCTCTGCTTCTGTGTAGTGTACCACACCGGGGAGTTCTGGTTTAGCCTGATCTCAGACGTTGTTGTAGGGTACCAAACATAACTTCAGTCCTGCAGTTTTCCCTTTTTTGTGCAGTTTCTAACATCAGGGGTGTTTGTCTGATGGTATGGGTCTTCTGCTGGGTTTGTCTGCAGCAGCGTTCCAGTTGTACAGCTTAATTAAAATCTGGGAAATAAACCACTTATTGCATCAACTTCCTCTTTGGCCAGCAGGAAAATTGTTCAGTGTTACTGCTTTCTGCCCTGCTGCTTGGAAATAATTCCTCTGAATCTGCAGTGCTTTGAAGTGGGGCAAGGCTCGCTGGGAGCTGCTGTGGTTGAGGGAAGAGGGCATTTCAGAGCACTGAAGACTTTATATTTAAAAAAAATAAATCTCTCCCTTTCAAGCTTTCCTTTAGCTACGTCCCTTATCGTTGCGGCTGCAGTACGCTTTGTATGAACTTTGTGTGATGTCGAAGGAAGTCTTAGGGTATAATCCTCTACTCTTCGAAGTAACTTTTGAACTGAAGTGACTTAATGGATAGGACAACTTTTAGTGATTTCCCTTTAAATTATTAAGCTCTCTACCCTAAATCTGTGGGGAGACTTCTTGCTGGAAGTTAAAGTGTAGGCAGCACAGCAGCATTTTTGTGGTATCATATCTTGACTTGCCATCTGTGCCATGCAAGTAAAAATGCCTGTGGCCGTGCAAGCCCTATCTAACATCTCTATCTTTTTATGGCCTTGGTGGAAGTGTGGTGCTTGTAGTGGGATGGTGGGGAGGCCCTTCTGGCCCTTCTCTTGTTGTCTCTAAATGTGCAGTGTGGGCTTGCACAGCTGTTACAGCGGGCTTCTCTATTGCCAGGTCCTGTGAAAAGGTTGATATCAACTGCTCCATTTCCGTGAGACACTGCAGCTCGCAAAGACTTGCACCATTTCACGCTTGTGTTTTTTCAGGGCTCAGTAAAGAAATGAATCTTGAGGCACCAGAAGCCAAATTTGGCTCAAACCCAGTTAAAAGCACAACACCTGGTACCCACCCAGGGATTCCCAGGTAACAGCCTGCCCTGGGTCTGGTGTTGGGAAGCGTCCTCTTAACGCTTGCAGCACCGTGGTCCTGTGACAGGAGGAACAGAGGGGAGCTGGGAGACTCGTCTCCTCTGCCGTGTGGTCGTCTGCACAGAAATGAGGAAACGTGTGCCTGGGAGTCTTGCTTTAAACAGCCCAAATGGAAGAACATTTCACTGATCTTTTCTGTAGAACAAAGTTATTCCCAAAGGTAGGCGGTCGGTGTGCAGTGTGGATGGGGCTCCGTCTGCTGGAACAGCAGAGAGAAAAGCCTCCTGAGGCCATCAGGAAGGATAAACAGTTTGGGGACTGTGGCCTGATTCCGACAACTCGGTTAGCCAGGGAAATCACTACTGAAGCAAGGCTCCCGTTGAGAGTCTGGGAGAGCTGTGCCTCTTCCTGCATTGGGTGGAAAGAAAGATGAGCTCAGAGGTAGTCGCCTTTGTGTATGGTTTCCTTGGTGAGCCTGGGAGGTCAGTGCCTTGCACCTGAGATTTCGTCTGGGTCTCCGAAGTGGTGTTTGGCTTCCTTTGGACTTTGCAGGGAGAGTAGGACTGCTCGCACGGCCAGGTAATGTAGGGAAAGGCTGGGAGTCGATGGCACCTGGTCTGCTTCTGTACCTCAGAGAAAGAGAAGTTCGTGCATGTGAAGGTGGATGGAGGAGGTACCCAGACGCAGACAAATACAGACAGCCTCTGTAGCAGATCTCTGCTATTGATTTTCCACAGTGCTGGTATTTGGTGTTCCCTCAGCAAACGCAGGTGGGCTACAACTGGGACCATCGCTCTGTCTGAATACTTCTCATGTTGCTTTTGCATCGCATCTAAAGCCTGGTGCATTACACTTACGCCTGGAGACCCACCCAGGGCTCTGCTGTGCCAAATGCTGTGTTAAAGCACAGTAAAAATGTCCCTGCTCTGAGTATTCTTTTGCTTAATAAGGCATACGAGAGTGGAAGAAAGCAGATACCATTTTCTGTTGATGTTTCGAGCGGTGAATGCTGGCAAGTTTTGAATTTGGTGCCTTGGATAGAATATGATTTGATAGTGGATTTATTTCAGGATGTGAGCCAGCCTTCAAATCATCCTGTGGGGCACTTCTGAGGCTGCCAAATGTCAACTCTGTGGGCTTATGGGGGGTGTGTCTGTGAGAGGTGTGTGCTTCTGAATGGTCTGCGAACCTTTGTCTCAGAATATCTGGCCCTGCTTGGGCTGAACGTCAGCAGCGCTGAGGGACGGAGCCTGGCATCCCAGCGACAGGGGAGGGTTTCTGGTGTCTCACCCTCACGTGTCACGGCACGGTGGCACCAGAAAACTGGCTTTTTGGGTGCCTTCGGGGAAGAGCGTGCTGTTTAGGTTTGCTACTCAGTGCTCCTTTTGGTTTCCTCCTCTTATGCATTTTCCTTCCGTTAGCACATTTTCCTCTTTTCTGTCTCTGGTCTCCCCCAGCCATTTGCTTTCTCCCTCAGGGCCGTTTGCTGTTCTACCCTTCTTTGGTGCATGGAGGAGAAACCAGTGACTTTTTTTGAGCAATATCTATAATCCTATTTCTGACTGGGGGAGCCAGAGGGAACATAAGAGCAGGGTATGTCTCACGGACTGGATTAGCTGTGCAGCTTGGTGTATTATTATTGTTCTGAAGTGAATCAGTTAATGTTAGTTCAGAAATGCTATAGTCCCAACTGTGATCCGAAACAGCTAAATTGCTTGGAGAGTGTCACTTGAGATGTTTGCTTCCTCTGCAAGAGAATTCTTCTGGTAATGTGCCCTTTTGTGGACGGTTGTCTAGCTGTCTCGTCAGTCTGGAGAGGCTTGTTTTTAGTGCTATCTGCTCTCTGGAGAGTTTATTTTTAAATAGTTGCTGAAGCAACAGTCTTGTAAAATGCTGCAGTGTTAGGATAGAAAGAATTAAAGTGTTTAGTAATCCTTCAAAGGGATAGAAGTAATTGTTTCTATCTTCCCTTCTCTAAGGCTAGCTGAAAGCAGTGGTGAAACCGCGTTCTCGTAGAAGACTAGCTTCAACATTTTCTTCCTCAGAACCCCTCTGTTTCAGCTGGGGAATGTCCACCTTTTAAACTAGTGTTTAAAGACCGAATGTCTGAGTTCAGGAACGGCTGTGCCCTGTCCTTCGCTCCTGCTATGCGAACATGGCTTATTTTCTCCCGGGACGAATTCTGCCACCTGGAGATGGGCCGTGCCGTCAGACAGGCACTGTGGCCCCCATAACTCCTATGAAGCAGCAGAGTGGTGCTTTAGAAGCCAGATCATTTACTTTTTCCACAAGAAGCATTTTGAAAGCTTTCCTTCTTTGTGCCAAAACCTGAGCTGT